TCTTGCAGAGGACCCGAGTTTGGTTCCCAGCACACACATGGTGGCTAATAACCGTCTGTAACTCTCAGTTCCAAGGGATCCAACACCCTCTTCTGACCTCTGCAGGCATTGCACGACACAGGTGCCCTTACACACATGCAGGCAATACACCCATACACATAAAATAAAAATAATAAAGAAGGTGGTTAGATTCTCCTGTCTGCTGCTGCATTCAGTCTGTTGTGGTAGTTCCTGTCATACAGTTTCTGGAAAAGCCCACTGAACACTTTTGAGAGAATGGAGTACAATAACTTTTTAGTATTATTACTAAAATGAGTTTAACCAGGAGCTTAGAAGGATGGCTCAGTGGTTAAGAACACTTACTGCTCTTGCAGAGAACCCAGGTTTAATTCTCAGTACCACATGAAGGGTTCACAACCACCTGTTACTCCATTTCAGGAAATCCAACCCCCTCTGACCCTCCACAGGCACCTACCTGCACACACATGGTGCCTATAAGTTCACAAAAGTATACATAGTGAGTAAATAAAATTTTTAGTTTTTTTCTTAATGTGTATGAATGTATTGCTTGCATGTATGTAAGTGTACCCATGTTGTGCAATGCCTACAGAGGTCAGAAGAAGGCATAAGCTCCCCTGGAAAACTGGAGTTTATGGATGGTTGTAAGCCGCCATGTGAGTGCTGGGAACCAAATCCGGGTCCTCTGCAAGAGGTGCCAGTGCTCTTAACCTCTGAGCCATCTCTCCAGCCCCATAAATACTTTCTAATTGATTTTTAACACCACTTGTTGTGGCACATGCCTTTAATCCCAGCACTTGAAACGAGGCAGGCTGATCTCTGTGAAATCAAGGCGAAGTTTTCTACATAGTGAATTCCAGGTCAGCTGGGGCTACAGGGAAGAGACCCTGTCTCAAAAAACAAAACAAAAAATTGATTTTTAACTTCACAGGTACCGTGAAAGGATCTTGGGCTCTATACCACACTTTAAGAACCTCTGCTAGTCAGTTACTAGAGTGCTTGTCTACCCTATGTAATCCCAGCACCACATAAAACCAGCATGGTAGCACACATCTATAATCCTAGCATTCAGGAGGTGGAAGTAGAAGGATCAAAAAATTCAGGGTCATCTTCAGCTACATAGCTTGAGGCCAACCTGGGATAAATGAGACCTTGTCTAAAAATAAATAAAAGGAACTGCCGTTAGATTAAGCTGCCAAATAATGTTCAAGCCTTATAGCTCAACTTTCACTGTTCAAATACAGTTACATAATTTTAATATGCCAGATTCTAGTGATGGAATTTCTATTTGAATTTTGTGGATCAATGAGATTGTGATTTAAAATTAATGGCTGTTTCTTCTTTCCTCAGGTGCATTTGGAGTCAGAAAACAGTACATGATGAATGCATGAAAAGTAGCTTAAAGAATGAAAAGTGTGATTTTGGAGAATTCAAAAGTCTCATCATTCCACCAGGCTATTTAACGTCCATTAACCAGATGCGTAAAGACAAAAAAACAGACTATGAAGCGATATTTTATTTTTCTTACAAATTTATTTACTAAAAGTCAGTATATAAGATAGTTAATTCTATGCATTTGAGAAAAGTCAGGAGTAAAAGAAAAGATGAAGGGATATGAAATGTCTTTATGTAATGGGGTGTGGTGGCGCACGCCTTTAATCCCAGCACTTGGGAGTCAGAGGCAGGCAGATCTCTGAAAATTCAAGGCCAGCCTGGTCTCCATAGCAAGTTCCAGGCCAGCTAGGGCTACAGGGAGACCCTGTCTCAAAAGAGGGGAAAAAAAAAAGTCATGCCACATATGTCATGTAAAATTACCTTTGTGCAGTGTATGAAGGTGCCAATGAAACATGATAAGCTTCATATTTAGACTTGGGTCCTGTCTCCGAGTACCTCATTATGTATGTGCAAGTATTCCAAAATAAGAAACACTTCTGGAGGCTGGAGAGATGCTCAGCAGTTAACACTGGTTGTTCTCGCAGAAGACCCAGGTTCGAATCTCAGCACCCACATGGCAGCTAACGACTATCTGTAACTCCAGTCCCAGGGGATCCGACAGCCTCTTCTGACCTCCGTGGGCACTGCACAACATGAGTGCACTTTCCTGCATGCAGGCAATACACGCATACACATTAAAAAAAGAACCACTTCTGGTTCCAAGCATTTCAGATACGAGATACTCAATTTGTATAATGTTTCAGGTGTTGAACACAGCAGTTATGTGGAAGAATGTATGTTTTCGATTGCTTTAGAAAACCAAAATTAGAAAAATCAATGAAAGTTGTTGAGAGACCAGATTTTCAACTCGTTTTTTAAAAATATTTTTTTATTTTTATTTTTATGTGTATTAGTGTTTTGGTTGCCTATGTGTAAGTGCACCCGTGTTGTGCAGTGCCCACAGAGGTCAGAGGAGGACATTGAATTCCCCTGGGACTGGAGGTTGTTAACTGCCATGTAGGTGCAGGGACTCAAAACCAGGTCCTCTGCAAGAGCAGCCAGTCCTCTTAACTGCTGAGCTGTCTCTCCAGCCCCTCAACATATTTTGTACTAATGTGATAACAGCAGTGGAATGAACAACCTTATAAATGATTTTTTTTGTATTTATTTTGTGGGGCCATGGCACATGTATGGAAGTCAGAGGGACAACTAGTGGGAATTTTTTTAGTGTAAATATCCAAGCATATCCCAAATGACTTGCCATTTGGGAACAGTGGGGTAGATCGGCAAATAAAGGGGTTTGTTACAAGCCTGACAACCTGAGTTGAGTCCCTGGAGCCCACATGATAGAAGGGAAGAATCAGCTCCCACAAGTTGTCCTCTGACCTCCACACATGAGCCATGACATGTGTGTACCCACACACATACACATATAAAACAAAATAAACAAGTGTAATTTAAAAGCTTTTTAATTTTTAATATATTTTTAGCTTTAATTATGTATGTATGTGCACTTGGGAGTACAGTTGCCTTGGGAGTGCAGAAGAGGGTGTTGGATCCTCTGGAGCTGGAGTTAGAGGAAGTTGTGAGCCTCCCAATAATGGGAACTCAGATCCTCTGCAAGAGCAGTATGTACTCTTACCACTGTCTCTCTAGC